GAGGAGGGGACAGCTCTCAGAGGGTAAGAAGCAGAAATTTTTCCCAGTCAGAGAGGATTCTCCTCAGACTTCAGCAGAGCAGGGACCTGGAAACATGTCTTTCAGCTTCCAGAACTGTTCCGTGATACACCATGCTAGGTATCACAGCATGCTTCCCTACCCTCTAGCTGCAGAAAGCAGAAAGGAACAGTTTGGTACAGACATTTTGTGTCAGGGGAAGGTTTGTGGACAGGTGTCCTGAAGGAGCACCTCCCTGCAGCCAGAAGTCCAGGCACCAAATTGCTGACCTACTGGGACTTGTTTTGCCTCTCATAGTTGCTGTCTTTTTAGACTGCTCATGTGCAGATGATCTCAGTACTGGAGGCCAGCAGTGCACACAGACTGTGCTTAATGACTTCTGTCCATCCCTTACTGGATGGACTGGTCCCACTTTTACGTGCATTTAGGAAGATAACTTTCAGCAATCTAGTGTGAATTTAATAGCCAGTATTTCAACAGACCCTTCAAATTATGGCAGAGATAGTGTTCCCAGGCTATTTACTCTTACCTGACCTGGATGATGTACTATGCCATCACAAACAAAAATTACTGGAAGCATGCTGCTTTGCTGTCCTTCTGGCCTTTTAGTCCTAACTCACCTCCTCCCTTCTCCTCCAGCCACAGACCTGGGAGATTGGTGAGGCAAAGAAGGGCAGCACAGTGCAGAACAGAACGGCAGCCCGTGGTGGGGAATGGTCACTCCCAGGTGGATCCACACAGCTGACAGAAGCAGCTGACACCCACCCACAGTCATCAGTGTCGCAGAACAGAGTGCAGGAACTCAACAGAGCTGAATTTTCAGTATCGCCATCTGGAAACAGGAGTGGGTGATGCCTGCTCACTGCTTCTATCCTACACATGCATTCCATAAAACATGTTTTTTTTTTTTTTTAATTTAATATAACCCATGAAAATATTTCTGGAGTGCTACTGCACTGTGACACATGCAGTTGCTTAATGTTTGTATTTTTAAAAGAGGAAAAGAAAAACAAAACAAAAAACAACACAAAAGAAAACAACCAAAACAACTGAAAATCAGGAAACACTGCACTTGAGGATTTGTGCCTACCTTACTCAGCTGGCAGTTCTTCCAGTCAGTACAGTCATGTTTCTCTGAGCCCTGGAAATGTGCCTAGCAGAACTCTAGCAATTTACACATTTCTGTTAACCCTTGAGAAAGGGAGCTTCAGATGGAGATCTGGTTTTGTCAAAAATGTCCTAATGGCTCCATTTCTTGCTCATCTTTTTCTAAAGGAACTGGCAACTTGACATGGCATGAGCTGGATAAGAAGGACTTAAAATGCTAAATTTCAGATTATTCTCCCACGATATACCCAGAAAAGCTCTGGGCAAGCAGAGGATTGTCAACACATCAGCATCTGTACAGTCTGTCAAGCTAGCGGTAATCTAGAACACAAATGACAAGCAGCGCAGTCAGAACCAAACTGATATGGGGCTGGAAAGGCAACATGATATCTAGACTGCAGCACTGAGCAGCTGCAGTGTTCTTCTCCCTTTCCACCAGAAATGCTCCTCAGCTTCCCTTCACCCAATGCCAACCATGGCCTCTGCCCACAGCCAACTGCTGAATGTCTCTTAGACGCAGGGCAAGGACAACTCAAGGATCTATCAGCTGCCTTGCTACAAAGCTCTTCATGTGGCTTGGATCTGGTCTCAGCAGTGACAGGGCTGAATGAAAAGCCAGTTGATGAGGGTGGACTTTTCACACAACCACAATTTTGGAGTTTCTAATCTCTTCATTGGGGGCATCTGAATTAAACATGAATTCCCCATCAATTGGGATGTACTTCCACAAACAAACAAACTCTGATCGGTCTTGCAAGAGGCATCTCAGAGACCAATTTCATGGTATCCTTCTGACCCACCTTCCTAACCTTGAGGGCCTGCTCTCAGTAGCCACAAGGTCTTTGACTAGCTTGGATTCACACTGTCATAGCAAATATATGCTCGTAATTTAAGTTTCTCCAGGCATTTTCTCTCCTCCTGCCTTTTGCCACCTTACTGTTTGCTCCCTGCCCCGTCCTTCTGACCAGACAGTGCGTGCACCCACGTGCCTTTCCTGCTTCCCTTGGAAACCCTGGGGCCTGCACATCCTGCTCTGACAACCCCACCCTCCCCTCATTTCTGAGGCTCACAATAACTCTACACATTACCAGCCACAACCAAACCTCCAAACCAACCTATTTAAGAGTCTCTACGTTTTCACGGTAACCCTCTGTGTATTTGCTATTGCTCATTTTCTTGTTTGGCAGTTGTTCATTGCCTCCTGACCTGTTTACATCTCTCCGCTGCTCTGAAGGCCCCCAGGGAGCATCATGCAGGACTTAGCCATGTCACCTCCATACTGGAGACTATCTTGTAGAGACAATGCTCCTGTAATCCCCCGCCACAGCCAAACTCCAGCTGCGTTTGCACATCCTGTGCAAACTAGCATTGTCCCAGGAGGGAGAGGATGCCTAAGAGACCTGAGGTAAGGTCACTTTGTAGGCCTGCTCCTCCACCTGCCTTACTTCCTGACAGCTTCTGGCCCTGAGCTGCAGGGACAATGCCACCTCGGCTCTCCTGCACAAAATGCCACGCCTCTCGGGGCTGCTGCTATCAGAAGATCTCTTACCCGAGCAGTGTTCCTGCTCACACTCTCAGAACCCAAACAACGAATTCCAAGCTACTTGCAGTGATGAGACAAGCAAGGCAATAGCTTAGTTTCAGCTGCAGGCTTGCCCTCACATTCATGGGCTTTTGCACGCATGCAGGTTTGCATGCATGAATGAGTGAAGGAGTGTCTGATCATATGGCAAAAACACCAAACGACCTGGTGAGAAACAAAAGGGCTGTCCCTGCAGGACAGGGCTGGGCTCGGGCTGCCTGGCTCCCTCCTCATCCTACCCCACCATGTCCTACCAAGCACGGTGCGCTGCAAGCAGAGGGTGTGCCGTGCTATTAGCAGATGGCACTGCTAAGGCCAGTGTTGCCAATGGGTTCTGATAAACAGCTAACCTGGGTCTTCTGGACCCTAGGCTGATAGGTCTGAACTTCAAGGAAACAAGTATGGGTACTTTTGGTTTCTGAAATAAGGGATACCTCTAAACAAGCAATATTAAAGCACTATTCATAAGATACAGAATTCCAACTTCGGAACATCAAGTCACTTGTCTTCCGATCTTCTGCCTTCATTGACACTTTGTTTCTCACTCCCCATCAGCTTAGCAGAGAGATGGTCCCATGAGCTTTAGATTCCAGCTCTACACCCCTGTGAGTGTCCATTCAACATAAGGGCAGATGCTGTTACTAGAAGCTCACAGGTAAACAGAATTATTTTCTAAGACCAGGAGATGTAAGACAAGGAAGCTTCTACCCACAGCTGTATAACTGCTTCAAGTAAAGGCAATGAAGCAGCAAGAAAGCAATCTAGTGATTTAATTTGGTGGCCTGATGGAAGGTGAATGGAAGTGATTCAAGAGGCTCAGAAACAGCAGTAAAAATATTTAATAATAATTAAAAAAAAAAAAAAAGGAAAGAAAATGGTACTGAGAAGAGAGTACTAATGCTCTGCAGTACGCTGCTATGAATAACTCTGGAGGTCCAATCGAATCCCACTGTTGCTATGGAATTGTTCTGCCATCTATTAAAAACAATTGGCACCAGCGGCATTGCTCGTGCTTCCACCCGCAGCAATTACCTGCCCGCGCTGGGAGGCGCCGGACCTCGGTGGTCTGGAGCCGGCAGCGCTCTGCCCACGCAGCAGTCGGGGGCCGAACCGAACCCTCCGCCCCGGGGCGCTGCCTCCCGCCCGCGCCGCACCGGGGCTGCGTGCACCGCGCCCGCTGCAGCACCGCGGGGCTGCACCGCGCATCCCTCTGCACGTCATCCCCTGCACGCCGCCCCGTGCGTGCCTGCGTTGGTTCCCAGACCGGGGCGGGTATCCGGGCATTGGGCACTACGCAGAAATGGTGCCAATCCCTTTTCTCTGCCGCTGTGAGCCCAGCTCCCGCAGCAGGGCTCGGTTACGTTCTGGTTCCCCGAGCGCAAGAGCGCTCGGCTCTCCATGCCGATGCCCGCGGGTCGGGCAGGGGGAGGCACCGCCCCCCGCTGGGGCAGCTCTGCGCCGGGCAGCACCGCGCCGCGGCGACCCCCGCGGCGCTCAGGACTCGGGCAGTGCCCGCGGTGCGATCTGCCGGGAGCGGGGCGTTGTGCTTGGCCACTTACCGTCGCTGCCAACAGACACAGCGCAGAGAGGAGCGCCGGTCTATTATACATATGCGAACCGCATGAAATACGCGCGGGCAGCATTTGTCACTGTGAGCCGCTCCTCCCCGATCCAGCGCTCAACCCCTGATTTCGGGGCAGTTTTTAGGCAGGTGCGCTGCACCGTGACCCCGACACGGCTCACACACGTCATTCGGCCGCTCGCACTGAAGGATTAAAGGGGGAAAAAAAAAAAAAAAAGGCAAGAAAGCAGAGAAATCCCCGCAACCGGGATCCGGAGACAGCGCCGCAGCAGCTCCTTCCCCGCGCCGGGTCCCGCTCCGCCACGCCCTCCTCCCTCACGGCCCCGGGAAGCGCCGCACCTCGCTCGCCCGCCCGCCCCAGGACAGCGCCGTGTGCCGGGCGGACCCTCCCCACTCAGCTGCCCCCCTCCCGCAGCCCCCAGCCCGCGCCCCGGCTGCCGCAGGCCCGCAGCCCCGCCCGGAGCGGCCGCGCCTCCCCCACCCCGCAACCCCCTCCCCTGTTCCCGGTCCCAGCCCGCGGCGCTGCTCGGGGAGGGGGCGAAAAAGGGGGCGAAAAAGCGGTGGAAAAACGGTGAAAGGAGCGAAGGGAGAAGAGCGGAGAAAGGCAGCGCGCGGGGGGGCGCGCGCGGGCAGCGGGAGGAGGGGCGGGGGGCGGCGCGGCGCTGGCCGGGTTCACCCGAGGACACGCGGCTCCCGCCCGGCGGCGCTGACCTGTGTGCACCCGGTAGTGCGCCTTCAGGTGCGAGGACTTGCCGTACACCTTGCCGCAGCCGCTGTACGGGCACTTGTGCCGCTTCTCGGCCGCCAGCTTCGCCTTGGGGGCGGCGGCGGCGGCGGCGCCGCGCAGGCGGGAGGGCGGCGCGGGCGCGGGGCCGGAGCACGGCGAGGTAGCGGCCGCGTCGCTGTCGGAGCCCGCGTCTTCGTCGGGGCTCTCGAGGCTGTCGCTGCAGACCGAGGGCGCGGGCAGCGGGCGGTACTTGTTCAGCTCCAGCAGGCTCTTGGCGATGGCCAGCAGGGCGCAGTAGTCCTTCCAGGCGTCCCGCGGGTCGCGCATCTCGCGGCCCGTCTCCGCCTCCCCCGGCACCTTCAGCCGCGCCGCCGCCTCGGGGGTGGGGGGCCCGGCCGAGCGGTTGGAGATAGACACCAGGCACTGCGCCGCCACGAAGTCCACGTAGGCGACGGCCGACATGCTGCGGCCG